TGCGGGGGGGGGCAGCGGGACGGAGACAGAAACAGCCACAGAGCAGGACATGCAGTCTAATGAGGGTCCCAAAAGCCATAAGAGGTCTGGAAGGAAGTGCCTGACATCCCCCAGTTGATCGTGGTAAGAACATGGGTGCGGTCGCCCCTGATCCTGGCATAGCTAAGATTACAGGCACCAGGGAGTATCTGGAGGGAGGAAGACAGTTCTTTCCAGTCTCTAGGGGCACAGAGCTATGGTTTTTCAGGAAGAAAAGGTAGAATTTTACCCGATTGCGGGGGCACTTAGCTGTCTTATTTCTGCAATGTAATATTTAATTGAAGGGATCTATAATTTCAGCACAAATCCACATGATTTACTGAGTACATACTACATGCAAATCCTATATAGGTCTTGGGACAAAACATGAATAAGACACAGATGTTTTTAGTGCTTCACATATGTCATAAATTTAAGCCCTGGTTGTGTCCTTTCAATAATTACTTACTTCCACAAATATTTATTGAATTCATTCATTCTTTTATTTATTTGATGTGCCTATTAGGTAACAGGCAATGAACTAAACTGCAGATGAAGGAGAAAATAGGGTCTTAATCTGTACTCGTTTATAGTCTCAGTGCAATACCGTGTAATACAAACAATGATAGTCTCGGAGACTGGTGTTGGATCAGGCAAGAACCATCCAGGCTATTTTGACGAATTAATTATATCTCAGGAATTGCGAGTGACCTGAAAGGGTTAAGCATGCTCACAATCCTGAACAACTGAGCCCTTTGCTTCCAGAATAATATCTCTGCCTCCTTGAGACAATACACAGGAGATGCCACCAGCAAAGTATGACGTTCTGGCTCTTAACTCCTCGAGGGTGCAGAGCTCTGGAGAGGTCAGAGTCTGCAGCAGCGCTTGATGGGGGCTGGAGGGGGGAGTCTTCGAGGAGATCTCAACCCCTTTCACCTCTCGGGATACACAGATTCACTTCCTGGGAGCCGGTATGCCTCCAGCCCAGAACCAAAGCACCATGTCTACTCTCACCAAAGGAATCCTGAGACGGGTTGTGCTATATGGTTCAACTTGTTCTCAGGTGGAGCAGAAACACCCATCAGCCAAATCTTTGATCTCAACAGAATTAGCTCACTTTATCACAGCTGTCAATGGGTTGCTGCTTGAAGTTGTGTGCAAGGACAGAGGATGAGCAGGGAGCGGATGATGTGCTCTTCCTTCGCCAATCAGTCTATCGTGTAAGAGGGCTCGTGAACTCAGATGCAGTCTCTCAGGAGCAACCGTCGCTAGGGAGAGAGTCTGACGCTACACCACGCGCCTGTCTGCACGTGCACCCGCCTCCCTGACTCAGCAGCCTTCTTTGGCCCTTGCCTCTCAGGGAGATGATGAGCCTGGTTAAATTCGCTGAAGCCAATCCGATTTGCATCTTTCCTTTCTATTATTCATCCAGCCATCAAACTTCGTGTTCCTGAGCTCATTGATTGGGATACTCATCCAAATGCTTACTTTCAGGCTTTTCAAGCTATGAAAATGCTGTCTTGCTTTCCCAAACCATGGCTACTTCCTCTGGTTAGTTATAAGAATTGCAGGACTCCTTCATTAGGCAATGACTTCCCCAGGAGAGATGTACTACCCACACACACCTACATCACCTGGTCGCCTCGGAGTTAAGAAACAGTCGCAACTGCTGTCAAGCAGGACCAGACGCTGAGGAGAGTTCGCATTTACATAGGACTTTGTCACTGAGGAAGCGCTTTTGTATCCACAAATTCATGTGATCCATACAAAAATGGTGTGTGGCAGAAGGGTTAGAGTATTATTCTTATACCCAGGCCCCTTTGACATGTGATTTTGCAGTGCCTCCCATCAGGATATGGAGTCCGTCTCCTAACCTTTGCCTTTGGCCTCATCTCTAGTGTCTTACTCTGGCCAACAGAATATGGTAGAAGTGATATTCCACCAACTCCAAGTGTACTGGTCTGCTCAGGCTGTCATAACAAAATACCGTCAACTGGGCGGCTCAAACAACAGAAATTTATTTTCTCACACTTCTGTAGAACTGAAGTCCAAGGTCAAGGTGCCATCAGGTTGGTTTCTGATGCGATCTCACTTCCTGGCTTGTGGATAGGTGCCTTCACACTGTGTCCCCATATGTCCTCTCCTCTGTGGTCCTGTGAAGAGAGGAAGACCTCTGGTGTCTTTGTTTCTTCTTGGAAGGAGCACAGTCCAATCAGATTAAGGTCCTTCCTTCATGACCTTATTTATTTTTTTTAAAGATTTTTAAAATTTATCAGAGAGTGAGAGAGAGAAAGAGAGAGAGAACAGTAGGTAGAGGGAGAAGAAGACTCCCCAGTGAGGAGGTAGTCTGACAGAGGACTCGATCCCAGGACCCCAGGATCATAACCTGAGCCAAAAGCAGATGCTTAGCCAACTGAGTCACCAGGCATCCTTTCATGACCTCATTTAACCTTTATTGCTTCATTATAGTTCCTATCTCCAAATGTAGCTGTACTGGGGATTTAGGGATTCAACATATGAATTTAGGGGAACACAATTCAGTCCAAGCGTAGGCCTCAAGGGGCCTCATGAGCTTGACTCTCTCTAGGGACTTGCCACCTACTTGAAACAAGTCTGGCATAGCTAATTGAAGGAGACACACAACACGAACCAGAAATAAGCTGAGACCAGCACAACCACCGGCAACCTGGTCACTGACTGCAAATGCAGGAGGTAGCTAGAATATACCAGAACCTCCCAGCTGATCCTAGTCCAAAGTGGTGACCTGTAGAACTGTGCACAAATTAGTTGTCAGTGTTGTAAGCTACTAAATTTGGGCCTGTTTCATAAGGCAGCAAAAGCTTACTGATTTGGCAGGTATCACATCTGTCCCCAGTTTTTTGAAGAGAACTGGAATCGCAAAGAAAGTTATCACACGAGGTTTTATGGGTAATAAGTTGTAGAGAGTCGAGAGTAGTCTTCTGGATTCAAATACTTTGTTTTTTCTACTCCAGGAAAGAGGGACTCAGTCTGGAAACACAGATCTTTTGATGTGGGCTTTTCCTAACAAATTGATTTTTCATGGGCTGACCTTTAGAGTGAATAAGTATGTACGTGAATGTATGTGTACTGTGTGTGCATGGGTGTGTATGTGTGTGTGCATATAGAGACACCTGTATTTCCTCTGAAGGGTACAAGTTGAACATTTATCAGGTTTTTGTTGTTTTGTTTTGTCTTATCCCAAGGGAGTAGCTTTAGGGGCTGTGATGAATCCAGGCCCTGCATATTTATGTCAGCCTGCCCAGAACCGCCGCTGGGTAGAAGGGGGCATGTGCTTCCATCTTCTCCTTTGCCATGGACCTCACAGGGTTTTGCAACCCTTTCCATAAAATGCTGGAGACTACTGTAGAAACTGAGGTCAGGAAGACAGCGGTGCTGCAAAGAAACACTCACTGGGATGGAAGCTGCTTGCTATTTGAGAGGAATGATGGACAAGGGCCTTGAAGAGGGGACTTGACTTGTGGGACCCACCCCCCCAATGAGGACTTCTTTAGGACTGAGCTCTGTCCCTTCATTGACAGCCATATTCCCCAGATTTCTAATTGCAAAATCTCTGGGTTATTTCTAATATTGTGCTTTTTATGACAATGCAACATAGGATAATTTGAACATAAATCATTTTGTACCTGTATAAATTTTTCTGTGAAATAAAATCCTGGAAGTAGGCATGCTGGGTCAAAGAATATGCATTCCGCAGTATTTTTATGGACAAGTTTTATAGATGTCATCCAACTGCAACTATAAAGGTGGTATCAATTTACACTTCACCAGCAAAGAATGAACTGACCCTTTCTCCATACGCTCACCAAGAGAACATTATCTAACTTTTGGGTTTTACCTATGTAATAGGTAAAAAATGACATATATATCAAAGTAATTTCATTTGCATTTCTCTTATTATGAGTAGGCTTAGTATCTTTTGGAATATTTAATTTGTATACTGTTATGTGAACTCTCTGTTCCTTTGTCCATTTTTTTCTATCATGGTATTGCTTTAATTGTTCTTTAATCACGAGATACTCTAGTCCGGGATCTCTAACCAGTTTCCTTTTAATTACATTTTTACATGACATTATTGAATGATTGTATTCTCTAACAGTCTTGAGTTATGTTGGTTTTTTGTAGGATTTTTTTTTATAGGATTTATTGCAAATCTCCAATTAGACTATCAATTCCCTAAGTACAGGACCCATGAATTGCATTTACTTCTCATTTGTTCTACTCTAGTGTAAGGCTAAGTAATCATTCATCACCAGTAAGTGTTTGCCTTACTGAATGAGGAAGACCGGAAGAACTGAATGTTGTCTGGAGGGTGGGATGGCTGGGATCTCAGCCATCATGGGCTGAATGGTGGTCCCTGCAGAAGGTATGTCCTAACTGTCAGGATCTATGAGTAACACCTTATTTGGAAAACGGGTCCTTGCAGATTCATAAGTTAAGAATCCTAAGAGGAGATCATCCTAGATTATCCGGGTGGGCCCTAAATCCTATAGTGTCCTTGAGACACAGAGGAGGAGCACACTGGAAAAGGAGGAGAGGGCCACAAGAAGAGGGAGGCAGAGGTCAGATGCAGCCACAACTCAAGGAACACCTGGAGCCCCCAGAAGCCAGAAGGGGCAGAAAGAGTTCTCTCCTAGAGCCTCCAGAGGAAGTGCAGCCCTGCCAACAATTTGAGTTCAGCCTTTTGGCCTCCCCAACTATGGCAGAATAAATCTGTGCTGCTATGAGCCACCAACTTGTGATAATTTATTATGGTAACCACAGGAAATGGACCCTTCTCTTCTTTGGTCTGCTCTTGCCACATTCGGGACGTATGTGTTACTCAGCAGGCTGTGAGACAGGAAGAGAGAGGACTGAAGGACACAGAAAAGTCCAAGAGAGGAGGGAACATGTAGGGCTGGCAGTGGAGAGTGAGAAGAGAGAGGAAGAGAGGAAAGAGAAGGAGAAAAACTGAAGCAAAAGGGGAAAATGAGGTGAGGCTGACTTGGCCTCTGCTCAGACACTCACCTTTCTCCTCATCCTTTCTCTAGTCTCTCCTTCCCTCTCTCAGTATCTCCCGGCTCCCTCAGGCATTCTGCCACACTGAGCAAGTTCACGTTTGTGCTGCTTAGATTTTCTGTCTCATCTCACGTTCTGGTTGCAATCTGTGGGCACCAATGAGAGGGTTAGAAGTTTGAGCAGAGGCACATGCTCCCCCAGAAAGTGCCCTCTCCACCAGCCCACGGTGACCATAGCGCTCCATGCTGGCATTCAGGGGTTCCTGAGACCATGCATGGCCCTCCATGCCCCAGGATTCAAGCAACCGCTCCAAATGGTTGTGTGGCATGCTGTCCTGCCCAACCTACCTTCCCCCTAACAGAAGTGAGAGAAACAAAGGAAGGAACCCAGAATTGCAAATTGTGCAGTTCCAGGTTTTCCAAAGGCTGGATGGAGATTGTGATTATTTTTGCTGTTTATAGTCTGGATCGCCTGAGAGGTTTTAGTTGTCTCTGTGCTGCCTCTAGTGGTCATTGGAAGTAGTGTTCCCCTAAAAGACCTCATTGTCCACAAATTCCTCACCCCGTTTTTAAAAATTTCTCTGGGTTTTTATTTAGGAATTTTATTTAGGATTTTTTACATAAAAAAAACTTTAAAAGCATTTTCAGAATCAATTCCATTTTTTTTCTTTTCCCATTATTTTTAAAAATCATTTTTAAATTTACATGAGGTAAAAATCCCCCTCTTTTGCTGTACAGTTCTGTAAGTTTTAACAAATTATAGCATGCTATAACAACCATTACAGTCAGGATACAGTTCCTTCACTCCAAAAAATTCCCCCCTGTGGAAACTTTGTAATCAAAACCTTCCCCTCACCCTTAAATCTTGTTTCTATCCTTATCCTGTTGTTCCTTTCAGAATTTCATACAACACTTTTTGAGCCTTGCTTCTTTCACTCAGCATAATATAGTTGATTGGCATAATGCATACATGTTGTTGAAAGTATCAGTAGTTCTTTCCTTTTTATTCCTCGGTAGTGTTTCATTTAATGGATGTACAACTGTTTGTTTATTCATTTACCCAAAGTAGGATATTTAGGTTGTTTTGTGTCATTATGAATCACACTGCCACAATTATTTGAATACAATTTTGAATTTGAATACTGAGCATAAGTTTTCATGTCTCTAAGGTAAATACATAGGAGTAGAATTACTACATTATATGTAAGTGTATGTTTGACTTTACAAAGAATTAACAAGTTGTTTTCCAGAGTAGCTATACCATTTTCATTCCTATCAGTAATGTATGAGAGTTCTACAGCCTCACCAGGACTTGGTATCATTAGTTTTTTTTTTTTTAATTAAACATTTTAAGATTTGAGGGAGGAACAAGATGGCAGAGGACTAGGAGACCTAAATTTCATCCTGTCCTAGGAGTTCAGCTAGATAGTTATCCAACCATTCTGAAACCTACAAACTCAACAGAAGATTGAAGAGAAGTAGAGCAGCAATTCTAGCAACAGAAAAGCAACCACTTTCTGGAAGGTAGGACGTGCGGAGAAGTGAATCCAAAGTGACGGGAAGATAGACTGCGGGGGGGGAGGGGCCGGCTCCTGGCAAGCAGTAGAGCAGCCGAGCACAAAATCAGAACTTTAAGAAGTCGGCTCCACTGAGGGACATCGCTCCAGAGGCTGAGTAGGGGTGGAGCCCTTGCTGAGACAGTGTGGTCTCGGGTCCCTTGGGGTCACAGAAAGACCAGGAGTGTCTGAGGGTGGCAGAGCCCCCAGGTATCCTAGCAGGGAAGCCAGGGGCAGACATAGAGCTGAGGAGTGAACTCTCAGCTTGGAGTTACCTTAAACCGTGATCTGAGGCATAGTCGGACCACTGCTAGTTAAGCAGGGACCCCACAAGTGGCAGATCTGGGGAGACCCACCTTCATCTGCCAGAAGAGCAGAGCAGCAGGAATCTGCTGGGATTGGAGACTCTAAATGGGGCCGTGCACCAGAGACAGAAATGCTCAGTCACAGGCTGGGTGAGCTTGGAGTGCGGCTGGAGAACAGGGAGACGGGAGGATTGACTGCTTTTCTCTGAGGGCACACTGAACAGTGGGGCCCTGAGCTCTCAGCATCTCTGGGCGGAGATTGGGAGGCAGCCATTTTTATTCCCGTCCTCCAGAGCTCCATGGAAAAGCGTTCAGGGAACAAAAGCTCCAGAGAGCGAACCCGAGCAGATTACTTAGCCCGACCCCTGGCAAAGGCAGTGCAGTTCTGTCCAGGGCAAAGATATTTGAGGATCACTGCAACAGACCCCTCCCCCAGAAGATCAGCAAGAACATCTAGCCAAGACCAAGCTTACCAATCAATGAGAACAGCAAAAAACCAGTGCTAGGGGGACACAGCACACCGGAATGCATGGCTTTTTTCCCCATGATTCTTTAGTCTTTCAAAGTTGATTTTTTTAAGTTTTTGTGTTTTTTTCTATTTTTTGTAATGTTCCCTCTTTCATATTTTAACTATTTTACCTTATCAATACCTTTTTAAATATCTTTATTAGTTTTCATTTTTACCGTCATATTCTACACCCACATTATATTTAACCTTATTTTTGGTATACATATGTTTTTCTTTCTTTAAAATTTTGGGATACATTTTCTTCTAACAGACCAAAAAATATGCTAAATCTAGTGTATGGCATTATTCTAGTCTCCAGCCTGATCACATTCTCTTCTTTTTTTTTTTTTCTTTTTTCAATCAACTGCTTATCTTAATCAATTCCTTTTTTAAAATCTTTTTTAATTTTCATGGTTGCAGTCATCTTCCATCCCTCCATTGTGTTTACCCATGGGTAAATACTTCATATATATATACATACATATATATATATATGTATATATATATATATATGGATGGAAATATATATCTATATAAATATATATATGAGGGATGGAAATATATATATATATATATATTTTTAATTTATTTCAAATTTTGGGAGGCAATTTCTTCTAACACACCAAAGTACACCCAAAATCAAGTGTGTGGCTCTGTCCTACTCACCAGCGCAATCATATTTCTTTTTTCCTTTCCTCTCCCTCCAGTTTTGGGTCTCTTCTGATTTGGTTAGTGTATATTTTTCTGGGGTTTTTGTTACCCTTTAGCATTTTGTTCTCTCGTTCATCTATTCTTCACTGAACAAAATGACATGGCAGAAAAACTCACCTCAAAAAAAGAACAAGAGGCAGTACCGACTGCTGGGGCCTAATCATTACAAACATTAGTAAGATGTCAGATCTAGAGTTCAGAATGACAATTATAAAGATGATAGCTGGACTTGAAAAAAGCATAAAAGATACTAGAGAATCCCTTTCTGGAGAAATAAAAGAACAAAAATCTAACCAAGTTGAAATTTAAAAAGCTATTAATAAGGTCCAGTAAAAAATGGAGACTCTTACTGCTAGGATAAATGAAGCAGAAGAGAGAATTAATGATATAGAAGACCAAATGACAGAGAATAAAGAACCTGAGCAAAAGAGAGATAATCAACTACTGGACCACAAGGGGATAATTTGAGAGATAAGTGATACCATAAGACAAAACAATATTAGAATAATTGGGATCCCAGAGCAGAAGAAAGAGAGAGGGAACAGACGGTATATTGGAACAAATAATAGCAGAGAATTTCCCTATTTGGGGAAGGGAACAAGCACCAAAATCCAGGAGGCACAGAGAATCCCCCTCAAAATCAATAAAAATAGGTCCACACCCCATCATCTAGTAGTAAAATTTACAAGTCTCAGTGAGAAAGAGAAAATCCTGAAAGCAGCTCAGGACAAGAGGTCTGTAACACAATATGGTAGAAATATTAGACTGGCAGCAGACCTATCCACAGAGACTTGACAAGCCAGAAAGGACTGGGATGATATATTCAGAGCACTAAATGAAAAAAATATGCAGCCAAGAATACTATATTCAGCTAGGCTATCATTGAAAATAGAAGGAGAGATTAAAAGCTTCCAAGACAATAAAAACTAAAAGAATTTGTGAACACCAAACCAGCCCTACAGGCTTAGAAGACCCCCTCTAGGGGTCTTCTAAGCAAAGAGAGAGCTTAAAAGTAACATAGACCAGAAAGGAACAGAGAAAACATACAGTAACAGTCATGTTACAGGCAATACAATGGCACTGAATTCATATCTTTCAAAAATTACCCTTAATGTAAATGGACTAAAAGCCCCAGTTAAGACACAGGGTAGCAAAATGGATTAAAAAAAAAAAAAAAAAAAAGACTGGGCACCTGGGTGGCTCAGTGGGTTAAGCCTCTGCCTTCAGCTCAGGTAATGATCTCAGGGTCCTGGGATCGAGTCGCACATCGAGCTCTCTGCTCAGCGGGGATCCTACTTCCTCCTCTCTCTCTGCCTACCTCTCTGCATACCTGGGATCTCTGTCTGTCAAATAAATAAATAAAATCTTAAAAAAAATAAAAGACCCATCGATATACTGTCTATAAGAAACTCATTTTAGACCCAAAGACACCTCCAGATTTAAAGTGAGGGTGTGAAAAACAATTTATCATGCTAATGGACATCAAAAGAAAGCTGAGGTGGTAATCCTTATATCAGATGAATTGGATTTTAAGCCAAAGACTATAATAAGAGATGAGGAAGGACACTATAACATACTTAAAGGGTCTGTCCAACAAGAAGATACAACAATTTTAAATATCTATGCCCTTAACATGGGAGCAGCCAACTAGATAAACCAATTAATAACAAAATCAAAGAAACACATCGACAATAATACAGTAATAGTAGGGGACTTCAACACCCTCTCAATGAAATGGACAGTTCATCTAAGCAAAAGACCAACAAGGAAATAAAGGGCTTAAATGACACACTGGACCAGATGGACATCACAGATATATTCAGAACATTCCATCCCAAAGCAACAGAATACATATTCTTCCCTAGTGCACATGGAACATTCTCCAGGACAGATCACATTCTGGGTCAGAAATCAGGTCTCGGCTGGTACCAAAAGATTGGGATCATTCCCTGCGTATTTTGAGACCATAACACTTTGAAAGTAGAACTCAACCACAAGAGGAAAGTTGGAAAGAACTCAAATACATGGAAGCTAAGGAGCATCCTATTAAAGAATGAATGGGTCAACCAGGAAATTAAAGAATTTAAAAAATTCATGGAAACAAATGAAAATGAAGACACAAATGTTCAAAATCTTTGGCATACAGCAAAGGCACTCTTGAGAGGAAAGTGTATAGCAATATAAGCCTTTCTCAAGAAACAAGAAAGGTCTCAAATACACAACCTAACCCTACCTCGGAAGGAACTGGAGAAAGAACAGTAAAGAAAGCTTAAACCCAGCAGGAGAAGAGAAATAATAATGATCAGAGCAGAAATCAATGAAATAGAAAGCAAAAGAATAGTAGAAGAGATCAATGAAACTAGGAGCTAGTTCTTTGAAAGAATTAATAAGATTGATAAACCCCTGGCCAGACTTGTCAAAAAAAAAAAAGAGAAAGGAGGTAAAATCATGAATGAAATTAATCAATTAATTAATTAATTAATCATGAATGAAAGAGGAAAAATCACAACCAACACCAAATTAATTAAATGGTGAATGAAAGAGGAGAAATCACAACTAACACCAAAGAAATACAAACACTTACAAGAACATATTATGAGCAACTATATGCCAGCACATTTGACAATCTGGTAGAAATGGATGCATTCCTAGAGACATATAAACTACCAAAACTGAACCAGGAAGAAGTAGAAAACGGAATAGACCCATAACCAGTAAGGAGATTGAAGCAGTCATCAAAAATCTCCCAGCAAACAAGAGCCCAGGTCCAGATGGCTTCCCAGGGGGGATTCTATCAAACATTTAAAGAAGAATTAATACCTATTCTCCTGAAACTCTTCCAAAAAAGAGAAATGGAAGTAAAACTTCCAAATGCATTTTATGAGGCCAGCATTATCTTGATCCCAAAACCAGACAAAGACCCCACCAAAAAAGAATTACAGACCAGTATCTTTGATGAACATGGATGCAAAAATTCTCACAAAATACTAGCCAAGAGGATCCAACAGTACATTAAAAGGACTATTCACCAGGACCAAGTGGGATTTATTCCTGGGCTGCAAGGTTGGTTCAACATCCACAAATCAATGTGATACAATACATTAATAAAAGAAAGAACAAGAACCATATGATCCTCTCAACAGATACAGAAAAAGCATTTGACAAAGTACAGCATCCTTTCTTAATCAAAACTCTTCACAGTGTACAGATAGAGAGTACATTCCTCAATATCATTAAAGCCATCTATGAAAAACACACAGCAAATATCATTCTCAATGGAGAAAAACTGAGAGCTTTTCCCCTAAGGTCAGGAACATGGCAGGGCTGTCCACTATCACCACTGCTATTCAATATAGTACTAGAAGTCATAGCCTCAAAAATCAGACAACAAAAAGAAATAAAATGCATCCAAATCAACAAAGAAGTCAAACTTTCACTCTTTGCAGATGATATGATACCTTATGTGGAAAACCCAAAAGATTCCACTCCAAAACTGCTACAACTCATACAGGAATTCAGTAAAGTGTCAGGATAGAAAATTGATGCACAGAAATCAGTTGCATTTCTATACATCAATGGGAAGACAGAAGAGAGATTAAGTAGTCGATCCCATTTACAATTGCACCCAAAACCATAAGATACCGAGGAATAAACCTAACCAAAGAGGCAAAGAATCTGTACTCAGAAAACTAAAGAGTATTCATGAAAGAAATTGAGGAAGACACAAAGAAATGGAAAAACATTCCATGGTCATTGATTGGAAGAACAAATACTGTGAAAATGTCTATGCTACCTAGACCAATCTACAGGTTTAATGCAATCTCTATCAAAATACCATCAACTTTTTCAAAGAAATGGAACAAATAGTCCTAAAATTTATATGGAATCAGAAAAGACCCTGAATAGCCAGAAGAATGTTGAAAAAGAAAACCAAACCTGGTGGCTTCACAATTCCAGACTTCAAGCTCTACTACAAAGCTGTAATCATCAAGACAGTATGGTACTGGCACAAAAACAGACACATAAATCAATGGAACACAATAGAGAGCCCAGAAATAGACGCTCAACTCTATAGTCAACTAATCTTTGACAAAGCAGGAAAGAATGTCCAATGGAAAAAAGACAGTCTATTTAACAAACGGTGTTGGGAAAATTGGGCAGCCATATGCAGAAGAATGAAACTGGACCATTTCCTTATACCACACACAAAAATAGGCTCCAAATGGATGAAAGACCTCAATATGAGACAGGAATCCATCAAAATCCTGGAGGAGAACACTGGCAGCAACCTCTTTGACCTCAGCCACAGCAACTTCTTCCTAGAAACATTGCCAAAGGCAAGGGAAGCAAGGGCAAAAATGAACTATTGGGACTTCAAGATCAAAAGCTTTTGCACAGCAAAGGAAACACTGAACAAAACCAAAGACAACTGACAGAATGGGAGAAGATATTGAAAATGACATATCAGATAAAGGACTAGTATCCAAAATCTATAAAGTACTTATCAAACTCAACACCCAAAGAACAAATAATCCAATCAAGAAACGGGCAGAGGACATGAACAGACATTTCTGCAAAGAAGACATCCAAATTACCAATAGACACATGAAAAAGTGCTCAACCTCACTTGGCATCAGGGAAATACAAATTGAAACCACAGTGAGATACCACCTCATACCAGTCAGAATGGCTAAAATTAATCAGTCAGGAAACGACAGATGTTGGCAAGGATGTGGAGAAAGGGGAACCCTCTTACACTGAAGATGGGAATGCGAGCTGGTGCAGCCACTCTGGAAAACAGTATGGAGGTTCCTCAAAAAGTTGAAAACAGAGCCACCTTATAATCCAGCAAGTGCACTACTGGGTATTTACCCTAAAGATACAAATGTAGTGATCCGAAGGGGCGTGTGCACCCAAATGTTTATAGCAGCAATGTCCACAATAGCCAAACTATGGAAAGAACCTAGATGCCCATCAACAGATGAATGGATAAAGAAGATGTGATATATACATATACAATGGAATACTATGAAGCCATCAAAAAAAATCCCGAAATCTTGCCATTTGCAATGACGTGGATGGAACTAGAAGGTATTATACTAAGTGAAATACGTCAATCAGAGAAAGACAATTATCATATGATCTCACTGATATGAGGAATTTGAGAAACAAGACAGGATCATAGGGGGAAGGGAGGAGGAAATGAAACAAGATAAAACCAGAGAAGGAGACAAACCATAAGAGACTCTTAATCTCGGGAAACAAACTGAGAGGGTATGTGCTAGGGTAAGAAAAAAAATAATTATAAAAAAGAATAAGCATATGAAAGAAATGAAAAATAAATAAAAACATTTAAAAGGTATGTAAGGGTATCTCACTGCATTTTTATTTGGGTTTCCCTAATGACTAGCAATGATGAGCCTTTTTAATGTGCTTATTTACTCTCCATATATCTTCTTTGGTGAAGTGTCTGTTCAAATCATTTGCCTATCTATTCAGGGTTTGCTTTCTTATTATTGAAATTTGAAAGCAATTTATATATTGTGGCTATGATTTCTTTGTCAGATATATGATTTACAGATATTTTCTCCCAATCTGTAGCTTGTCTTAACAGTGTCTTTCACAGAGCAAAAATATAGTAAGTTTTAAAATCAGGCAGCATGAGCCTTCCAATCTTGTTTTTCTTTCACAAAATCATTTTGTCTATTCTAGTTTCTTTGAATTTTCATACAAAGTTTTACATGTAAAACTCTTCATATAAATAGTTATATGGTCAATAACTAAAAAGAGTCCTGCTGGGATTTTTTATTGTGGTTGTGATAAATCCATATATCAATTTGGGGAGAATTAACCTTTTAATACTTTGTCTTCCCATAAACAAACACAAAATATCTCTTCTTTATTCCTCTCTGATTTCTTTCATCAGTGTTTTATAGTATTTAACACACAGATTATACAAATATTTTATTATATTTCTACCTATTTCATTTTTTGTAGCCATTATAAGTGATATGTTTTTTAAAAATTTTGACTTCCAATTGTTTGTTGCTAGAGTGTATAATATTAAAATATGATTGATTTTTAAAATATTGACCTTGTAGCCTATGCCTTTTTTCAACTCATTTATTAGTTATAGGAGTTATTTATTTTAATATACATTCCTTGAGTTTTCTATGTAGAAAACCATGTTGCCTGCAAGCAGTAATAGTTTTCTTACTTCTTTTCCAGTATATGTAGGTTTTATTTCTTTTCCTTGCATTATTGCACTGATATATTACACTGACTAGGACTCTACTATGCTGCTAAGTAGGACTGCTGAGAATCTTGTGTCAGTCTTGAACTAGTTCTGATCTTACAACAAAGGTGTTCAGTTTTCATTATGCATAATTTATAATGTATAATTTATAATGTATAATTATGCATAATTTAGCTTTAAATTCTTAGTAGATACCTTTTTATCCATCATAAAGAACTTAAGAATTGGCTTATAATATGCTATTTTATATTTATACATATATTTACTATTTTCAATGCTTTTTATTATTTTTTTGTAGGCCTGGGTTTTCATCTGGTAGCATTCCCTTCAGCCCCACTCTAATAAAAATTTTAAGTGGAGATCTAGAAAAAGGGAAAAAAGAGAAAGGAACAAATTTTATTTATTTGACAATATCCCTATTTCGCAATTTAAGCTGCCCAAAAAGGCAGCTGGGGGTAGATTTTAATCTGAATGACCTAGCTGTATAGGAGAGCAAACATCTGATTACTAGACAACTGCTCTTCTTTTCCTCCTAGGAATTACCCTCCTCCCCTTTGAAGCCCTAGGCCCCAACCCATTCCTTAGCTCAGCGTGATGTATAAGCCTCAATTGCCTGGCTTGTTCTTGAGTCCCATGTCTTTGAGCTCTCATATATATGTAATTAAATTTGTTTTTCTCCTGTTAATCTGTCTCATGTCAGTTTATCAGACCAGCCACAAAACCTAGATGGAAAGAAGGGAAAGTTTTTCTCCTCTACACCATTATTTTAAAAAAATATTTTCACTGGACATAGAATTCTAATGTCTAGTTATGGGTTGCTTGGTTTATTTTTTGAGTTTTTTCCTTTTAGCATTTTAAAGACACCATTTCATTATACCTTGCCTTACATTTTTAAAAGTTATTTTTTAAATTACAGTAAATATGCATAACATTAAGTTTACCATTTTAAACATTTTTACTGTACAGTTCAGTAGCATTAAGCACATTTACACTGTTGTGAGAGCATCACCAGCAGCCCTCCTACTAAAGTTCTCTGCATAGCATTTATCACCATCTGATATTTTGTTCATCTTTAGTTTATTATCTGTCTCTCCCACCAGAATGTGAGTGCACTAGGGATAGGACTTTGTCCTATTCACTGCTGTATCTCAAGTGCCTAGAACATGATCTGGCCCACAGTAAGTATTCAGCAAGTACACGTTGAATGAAGGAAAACATAGCAAGAAAACAAGCAAAAACACTACTCTCTTATATAATTTAAGGAAGGTGATTTGTAACGACAGAATTTTGAAGTGTCTTTGAGTGTATGAAGGAATGTGAGATCATCTGGGTTATCAATGTTTTTTTCTCTAAGCATATCTAAAGAATACAACCCAAGACAACACTGTGAGCCTCAACTGTAAAGAATGCCCTTGCTAGGGAGAATATCAGAAGGGGGAGGGAGAAGAACTCAGGTAAGAGTTTGTGGTTTGAGAAATCCTTCCAGGTAATAAGCCTTTTCTAGGGAAACATGTTCATGCCTCTCTTTTCCTGACCTCCTTCCACTCTTACTCGCAAAACCCCTTTGAAAAATACTGACCTGATCTCAACTACTTCCTTTTAGAGACAGTGACTCCGAAAGGTTAAAGATTTGCCCAAGGTCAAGCAGTTAATGGCAGAGCTGAATTAGAACGCAGTATCCTGACACCATTCTATAGATTCAAATAAGGAGCAAAGAGAGCACAGATTGTCAAGGCCCACATCTCTGGAGAAGAGTTCTATAGTGATTAAGACAGGGAATCTGGAGCCAGATCATCCCCGGCTAAAATCCTGTCTATGCAACCTTGAACGACTTATTAACCTCCTTAAGTTTCCTTTCCTCATACGTAAGTTCTGGATTCACTTGAATATCCAATGGCCAGCTAAAACTCCACACATCAGAACTAAATGCTCTATTTTCCCTTGCCCCAAAATCAGCTTGTCCTCCTCTGTTCCCAACTTCATTAAATGCCAGTCTTGCGCCCCCAGAAATCAATGACTGATACTTGGCAATACCTTTCTTCCTCGACCTCCCTCACACTAACACCGAGGCCGACCACATCTGCACCCTAAATGCCTTGCCAATCAAATCACATTTCATCCACTCCCATGTCCCTCCCCTGGTGTCAGGCTGTCATCACCTTTTCTCCTGCATGACTACAAGTTGACTAATTTGCTTTGTTGTCAATGGTCTTGCCCCCTCCCATCATTTATCCACACAATAACAGCATAATCCATCTAACATATTTGTCGGATCATGACACTATCCTCTCTGATCCCACATTTGTTTCCTGTCCTCAAGCATGGCTTTGACGAGCAGCCCAAACTTCCTTTCCAAGCTCGTGTTTCATTATCTCCATGCTTGTGTTCTCAGTTTCTCCATATTGAAAAGTTCTCAGTCCTTTGAAAATATCATGTGTATCCTACACTTTGGATACTTCTTCATGCTTCACGTTTTCTTCTGGGACTATTCTTGACCTTCTTTTTGTGGCTAACTCATACTTTCCGATATCAGTTCATCCAGAGAGTCTTGTGTGACCCCCAGCTTCTCCTTAGGCCCCTCACAAAATCTGTGCTTCCATGACAGCCTGTCCTTCCCCATCACCACCTCATACCCTAACTGTTGATCTGTCTACACCTTCACCTCTGTAAGTCCATGGACCGTGCCTCATACGTGCACTGTTGTACCTCAGGAGCCCAGCAATGCCCAAGCACATAAGGGCTGCTTGACAAATGTTAGCTATTCTCATCATCATCACTATAATGATTGAATAAACTCATGGTTTTCATAAAACGCTAAGCATGATGTACAGTTGACGGTCGCAAATCATCGTTTTGACTACTTAATATTCTCCCTCATTTTTTTCACCAAAACTTAACGTTTCGGAGCACATCTGTTATAATAGAACTCAAGGCAAAATACAATCACATCTCTTTGGTATCTTATCATTAAATAACGAGTAAAAACATCCACATGTATACATGGCATTTTCTCCCCAAATTCACTGATGTTCTTGAGGAAGAGCAAAAAACTTCCTGGGAGTTCTCTTGTACTTGTTGACTCAATCTAGTAAAGGTCAGAGATTACTTTATGTGTTTAAAAAATTCTTTCTGTGGACAAATCATTTAAACTTCAACCACACCCTAACTATCCCAAGAACAGAAACATTCTTAGTTATAAACAGCTGGTAACAGGCATCCTTATCTTCCCTAATTCTCTTCTTTGAAATACATTGAATGGCAAAGGTCTTATTATAAGTATCGTCCCTCCTATAAAGTTGGGAGAGGCAAGTTAATTATGATTGAGTTTTAAGATAATATAAGATCACACATACTAAGGGACTCCATTTAAAATAATGACTCTCTGAAGCAGAAAAAAAATCAGCTAAACTGTTCAGCAAAATTGTTTTGTTAGACTAATTCTAGAAATATACTGAAGACAAATAATTTTGTTTCTATAGGGGATAAAAACTTAAGACTATAAAGTTTCCTTCTGGATAAATTTTAGAAGGAATTGTTGATTTGGGATTTACAGTGAATGTCATAGTGGGTGGTTTTTTTTTTTTTCCTAATTAGCAAAATCAAATGAGAACAACACATCAAAAAGCCATTTCTAGGGTGCCTGGGTGGCTCAGTGGGTTAAAGCTCTGCCTTCGGCTCAGGTCACGATCCCAGGGTCCTGGGATTGAGCCCTGCATCAGGCTCTCTGCTTGGCAGGGAGCCTGCTTCCTCCTCTCTCTCTCTAGGCCTAACTCTCCACCTCCTTGTGATCTCTGTCTGTCAAATAAATAAATAAAATCTTTTTTAAAAAGGCATTTCTATACAAAACTCATTTAGTTTCTTTCACAAGAAAAAAATAACATGTTGATTATTAATTTGATTCCATGAAGCAAGATTAGATAGACATGTGGTCTTATTCTCTCACACCTGGCATTCTTAGCGATTAAAGTATTTCTATGGTAAAATCTGAACCTCTGTATTTCAATATTCCCAGGAAACATTACTTATCAAAGATGTATATTTGTAGATATGTCCCAATGTAATAAACTGTAAGGTAAGAAAATATACAAAGCAGATGGCTTATGAACAGAAATTGTTTTTTATTACCAAAATACTCTACAAAAAGATTTGCCAACAATATTCTTCAACTCAGAAATAAGTGTTTGTATCAGTGTTTCTAAGGGCTGAAAAAATGAAGGGGAAAGATGGAAGATTTGAAATAAAATTGAAGGCAAACTTATAAACAAATAAAAATGGTTTGACTTTACAATCTAAACTGGTGGGAAAATACAATTTACTTTGCCAGACACTGATTTATATAGGGATACTATAAAATCTAATAAAAAGAAATGTGCAATTCTTTATTTAGCAGTTATGTATTTGGAAGATTTTGCCTCTCCAAAAAAGAAACAACTTTAGTCAGGGTAAAATATAAACAGACTAGACAACATTAGCTAAATTAGTACATAGAAATGCCACCAATGTTCATTAAGCTAATCATTTATTTCTACCTTATCTCATTTCACAAAGAGTGTTGAAAAGCTTATAAAAATAACAAAAAACAATAAAGTAAATATTCAGATACCCAAAACAAAAGAAACGATAGCTTCATAGTAAGTTTACCTAGTAAATATTCTAATAAATGTTTTAAACTTAAAATTTTAAACTTAATAAACATTTTCTAATCTATTTGATAATTGATTACCAAAAAGAAAAAGAAAAGTCTGGAATCTCCAGACAGAATTGCAGGGGTGAGTGGCTTGGGCGGAGGGGGAGTTGTTTTTCTACTCCCTAAAATATCTCTAGAATAACTAAAAAATGTGAACCTAATTAACTCAGATTGCCACAGACAACTTCTCATATGGTAAACTATACATAATTCTATACATTTGAATTAAATAGAAAAACATTTCTCTCATTGCTTAAAATGTTGGGCATATTTTAAAAGAATATAATTTGATAGGGTCTTGAATCATTAACCCCCTTAAAAGCACAGAGTCCTCAAACTCTGGGCACCCATGTATCTTGGTTTAGCTTAAGAATGGGGACCATATCTTGTTTTCTATGTGCCTACAGCAGTGTAGGGCCTCAATAATATTAACTGAGTGCATGATTTAACAAATTAACAATACTTAGGATCTCTGAGGATGACGAGGAGGACAACTAACATCTTTAGCCAACTAAGAGTGAATGAGACAGTTATCAGATTGAATATGATGTGTTATGCTTGTTTATGCATTTTTTCAGGGTCTAAAGCACATAGAAATCTTTCTAAAGTCAAGATGATCTGGAAAATCCCAACATTATAGTGAAGGATCCAGATAGAAGCATTGTTCACCTAAAAGGGAGATTTTACAATCTCCACTTTTGCAGATAAGGAGATCCAGGCCTAATTGAGTCACTTTCCTAATCAACATAGGTAATTAACAGTATCAGTGGCAATGATACCCTGTTTCCCAGTCCAGGGCTCTTTCCACCACAGGGCTGCTTTTGTGATTTAATTAGAGAGATGATCAAATAGGAAACAGCACGTTGTCTTGGTTTGTAACATTTGTTTTTACTTGATTTCTTTTCTAAATTCAAGATGCATTGAAACTGGAAAACAGGGAGATGCTGGGAAGCTCCTGGAAGCCACTGGGGCAGGAAAATAAATGAAACTGACCTTCACTCCCACATGGCAGCAGGAGGGGAGTGGATCTGGGAGGATTCAGGTTTGTTTTTGACAGGATCTCACTCAGTCAGTTGTTTTTGGTTAAGGATACTGTCGATGTTGACACAGCCAAAGAGATTTGGACAGAATACTATGTCCAAAAGTCCATTTATCAACTAGATAACAAACTCTTGGACAGATTTCTGGAGTAAAAACGTTGTTTGGAATGCAGTCCGTATTCCAAGTAAGTGCTTTTGCAGTAACACTCGCAAACCATTACAGCCCATGTGCACTCGCTCTTCGCAGTAGCTAAGCAACATCATCATGCTGGCGCAATCGAATCATTGCTGATCAAAATAAGTGCTAGCAAAACAAAAGATCGATTATAGGACCAGTAAGCCCTAATGAAGAAAAATGTACTTTACTGTATAGTAACAGTTTTCTCCAAGTGTCATTTCTCATGAAACTACAGAGTTAAGTTTTCAGGGTCTCAGTGAATTTGGATAAGGCACTGCACAAACACACACACACTCACACACACACACGCACACGCATGCACATACATACCATGTACATAAGCATACAGTTGGTTCTTGGTAGTCACAGTAGTTATGGTCTATAGAGTCACCATGAACGCTGGACTGGCATATACTAACCCCTTCCTCCTTAGTGAAATACGGAGGCAAGTTTCTATGTGCCTCTGGGCATACTTTCTTGAACTAATCAGGGCATAACCTTGTTTTCCTGTGATTCTGTGTAAACACCCTTTATTTACTATATATTCTTGCTTCATTAATATTGAACTCAGGACCAACAGCACTATTAACTCACACCTGAATGAAGCTTGCCTGACATGTGGATTTTCTCTGGAGGGCACGTCATCGTCCCATATACGCTTGGGCACACTAGACAACACTTCAGATACTTGGCGGTCATTAGAAACAGCAAAATCATCAACAAAAAACACATAAGGAGGCACTAAATAGACCATGAAAAGGACACTGGTTGACCGGATGAGAGCTGAAACAAGGAGTCAGCATGTGGTCCTGTTCAGCTCAGCGGGGAAGAAAGTGCATATGTATCAGGGACTCCAATTTTTCACTGCTCTATGCCTACCTGTGAATGACTGCCAAAGTGCCCCGAAGATGGCCGGGGGCCGGTGGGGGGGACACAAATAAATCTGGGCAAACAGGTGGATTCACAAATACAGGTTCTGTGAATAATGAGGACCGACTGGACACAAAAACGACGTGTGTGTCTGTATGTATTCACGTGGGCATTTCTCTGATGGTCAAGTAAGCTCAGCCCAGTGTGGTTGGCAGTTGTGACTGTTTGCAACCACAAAGTCGTTTCCATAACGTAACCAGACCACGTGATTCCTACACAGCAGGCTGAATATGTAGGTAGCCCCGTGTTCGGGGTGGGGGGTGTGGAGGGCAGCCCTAATTTTCCGATCCTTCTTATTTCGGCAGCATTAGAACTGGACCTTTTCTTGAGCCTTTCCACCACCGCCCTACTTCTCTTTGTTATGCTTGAACGAGATAATACTAAGGTTCCTATTTTGTTGAAAACAGAAGGAAATTGGAAACTTGGAAACCTCCCCTATCTTTTGGGAGGAGGGAAGAGTGTGAGCCTACAGCTTTGCCCTGGTCAAGAGCAAGCAGACCTCTTGTGTTACTTGGCACGAATCCATGTAGAGAGGAAGGGGTATATATTTTATATCTATTCGTTGCCTGGCTCTCCTATTTTCTGCGTGATCAGCATCTGTAAGATGAAAATAGTAGTGTCCACATCGTGGTAGTGCCATGAGAAGTAGACATCATTTTGGTGAAAGACTTTGCAGTTTGTTCTCATTATCGTTAACAGCAACAGTAATCATTGTCATACTAAACATGGAGAATATAGCAAATTCAGCCCCAAAAGAGATGCAGAGGCAGTTTCACAAAATAAACATCTCGCCGGTCATGCTAGATTCCACTAATTTGAAGTACAGCACAGCTGGTATGCGTCCCTAGAGAACCTTGTCATGATAAACTTGAGCCTGTGGCAGAACTACTTTCTCCAACAGGCTTGGGCACCAATCACTCCAGGCTGTCCCAGCTGTCCCCCGTCCCCAGAGCATGCATGGTCGCCCCACCCTCTGCAGAGCTCTGGTGTTCAAGGTCCATGTAAATGATTCCACAAGAGAGGACTGGTCTTAGCTGAAGGCCAAGGGAAGGAGAGCTCAGTTCTTCTGAGGCTTCTGTGCCCCTCCTGTCTGCGCTGCACTCTTGTCGGTCTGTACCTTCTGCCCCCCCATCCCAGCTAGTGATTCTTTTCTGCTATGACTATAGCATAAAGAATAGTAGAAAATTTTGAGGCTAAGGCATTGTGATAGGAAAAGACAGTTACCTGAAAAAAGATAGAAATCAGAACAAAAATGTATATAAGAGACCCACGTTAACACATATACGACATATCTAACACAATATGTGTGATAGAATATAAAGAGAGATCCAGACATTTGCTCTGAACAGTTATCAGAAAACTAAAGAGTAAAATTCCTAAAAGTCACATTTTCCTGCACAAAGATAGGAGAGATCCACAGAATCACCAGCTGCTTTCCGTGAAAATGGGCTCCCTAACACTTGACCAGAAAAGACCAGGGGACGCCAATCTGTCAATGAAGCAGCAGTGAGTGTTGGCTCATCCTCTCGTTGAACCGGTCATCAGTCACAGAGCATCTGCGGGGTGCCAGTCACTGCGGGAGGCACGGCAGTCTTTGCTTCTGAGGAGCTCCTTGTCCAGAGGCATCATTCAGAAGATTTTTTTAGAGACTGCCTGTATCTCCCAACTCAGGGATTCTAGAATTCTGGATCTCTCTGTTCACGGCTGACAAGTAGCAGGTAAGCCCTCAGCTATTAAAATACTGAAACCTTGTTGGTTACAAAAATACTAAAATGTTTCCATTCTGCTTGGTAAACAGCCACTGTGTCAGCAACTTTAATAAAGGACTTAATGAGAGGACACCATGGGCTCTAGAGAGGGAGCAGGAGAGCCTTACTGTTTTAAAGACTCTTTGCTGTTGATGCTCCTTACTTTAAGGTAGTAACTGCAGAATTTTTCCTTGGAAGTAATTTTTCTTTTTTAATGGGAAAACGCTTTAGTCGACTTTAGGCTTACACTTCACCTGGGTGGGATTGTTTTGGAGAGAATAAAGCTAAAATTTCTCTATGGAAAAAAGCTACCTTCCTTGGACAGGGAGGTACATTTGTTGTGCTGTGGGTTCCTGGGGTTTCCTCCACTGGGTAAGAAGTAGCATGGGGGACCAAGGAGTGGGGACTCAGTGAGAGGCAAAGATGGGAGAAGAGGCTCTGGTTTGTAGGAAGCAGATGTCAGGGATTTGCAAAAAGGCCCACATGGGCCGGGAGAGAGGCAGTATCTGTGATGGTCATATGCTGAGACCCCACTGCTTTCTGCCTTTTTCCTTTCCTGCATGCAAAGGCCCCATGCCAACCTCCAATCTTCAGTCAATTCTGTTAGGCTAGCTGCGTTGCTTCGAGATCCCTGGGCATTTAGGAAGGGACTGGTGAGAGAAGTCTTCAGCTCGCAGGTGATGGCAAGGACGCCAGGGGTAAACAGTGGGAAATCAGGAGCCACTGAGCCAAACAAGAAGGGATGGGCGACAAGCAGAAGCTCCAGCGAAGAATGTCTAAGATGAGTGAGGGCTGAGGCACCGTACTTGGATTTGAAAGGCTGGAAAATGTGTGGAAACTTGACATAATCCCCTTTTCTTGGTAACTATCAAATTGTAATAATCTTTAATAATTTATGTAGAAGGTTACCTGTTTTACATAACTTACCTAAAAATGAAATCTTCGGGAATATGTGTTGGTCACGCACAAATACCAATAAACTATAACCCAAATCAGAAGACTTGCTTTTGTTTGTGTTGGCCAGTGGCCATCAAAGGACTCTTAGGGCCCCAGAGCAGCATGAAACCATTGGACTCTACGGGGACAGCCAGCTGCCTATTTTCTCCTCACCTCGTGGTCTTGCAGACTCTTCCATCCTGACTTAAGGAGCCCTTGTGTTAACACAGGGGCTGACCACCAGTGCCCTTGAGGCACAGAATAGGACAACTGTTAGAGGTCAGTTATAATCGCAAAACTACAACATTTTTGCTCATTCTGATTACATAAAAAACTGTGCTTTATAGTAATTCTGGAAAATATTAAACTTTACCAAGGAAGTTTTAACATTACCTGTAATTTTACCTCCTCAAATCACATTAATACATATGTGCAATTTCCACCCCCTCAGGCTTTTGTCTATGCATTAAAAAAAATATATATGATATATACAATTTTATATTCTGTTTTATTTTCACTTACCATATAATGAATGTTTCCATCATTAAAAATCCTTTAAAAATATAATTTGTAATTACTACATAATATTTTGGTATGAAATTTACTCAGCAGGTTCACCTGGGTGGCTCAGTTGGTTAAGCGTCTGCCTTTGGCTCAGGTCGTGATGCTGGGGTCCTGGAATCCCTCTCCCTCTTCTGTTCCCCCTGCTTGTTCTCTCTATTGGCTCTCTCTCTCTCTCAAATAAATAAATAAAAATCTAAAAAAAAAGAAAAGAAAGAAAAAAAAAGAAATTTACTAAACGTAATAGACAATATAGTTATTTCTGAGATTTTAGTGTTATAAACACCCAAAAGAAAAATAGGCAAATGCCATGAACCAGGAGCTCAAAGAATTTGAAGTGCAAATGTCCTACAAACATGAAAAGATATCTCAACTTATTAATATTAAAGAACCACAAATTAAACACAATAAGATATTATTTTTCCTTATAAATTGAAAAACATTTAAAATACTTGATAACCCCTCATGTTGAGGAGGACACAGAGAAATAAATATTCTCAAAAATAACATCTTCTAGGGCATTATGACCATTGCAGTATTGTTTGTAACATAGAAATTGGAAGCAACCCAGATGTCCATTAATAGAGGATTAATTCAATAAATTGTAGTAAGTTAATACAAAGAAATATTACGGAGTCTTTGGAAAAAATGCAGTAGATTCTAAGATTATATACATGCCAACATGGAAGATGTCCAGGAGGTATTGATGCTTTATAAAGTTAAAACTAAAATGATACTGCAAAATACTTTGTACTCCATACACTTTCTGTGTTTAGCGTGGGGGACTGATTAGTTTCTGGAAATGGAAGCTCCCACTGAAAGCCGGTTATGCAGGTCATTGCAACCCTGTGCACAGGGGGTGACATTCTTACATTCAACACTGGCAACTGCTTCTCCCTGCTCCTTAAAGTCCTTGAAATAGTTGCACGATTCCAGCTACAGTTTATGCAAATGGAGGCCCATTCTTCCAGGTTAAGGTGTTGTTTGTGATGACCTTATGATGACCTTCCTAGTGTCAAAGCGTTCCCACAGTCACCAATTGCCTATCAATCTTTATCCTCTGTTTCCTAAACCATTGTCATTAACAGTACCCATGGAGGCTCAACACTTTCATTTTAACTTCTAAGAAGCCTGATTCTCCTCTTTGGTGTCTTTGGGCCAGATGCAGAACCACAGATACCAGCAAATGTTTCAGCATTTACTATAAGTGGTAAGCATCAGTAAACTCTTTGCTAGCCAAGAGTAGATTAAAGTTTCTTCCAGAATTCAAAACAAATAGCAGAAAGAGAAGCCACAGGAGCACAAATAACATGGGTTTCCTAACAACCTGTAAGAGACCCGTGGAACTCTCATTGGCTAAGGGCGGTTGCAATAGGGAACATAAGCCCCTCATTGGCCAAAAATGTGCAATTGAATCTGCTCTGCTGGCTTTCATTAGGGTGGGAACAGTACTATCGAGAAAATAGAAAAAATATGGCAGTAAACTGTAACAGTATACTAAGGGAATATGTATTTTGAATAATATTCAAGAGAGAAAAGATGGTATTTCAAATTATTATCATTTAGGTGAATTAAATGAGATGCTTCTATAAACCCATTTTTGTAAAAAGAAAAAAGTATTGCATTAGTAATAATGCTAATATATGCAAGAAAATTATTTGGAGGAAATTACAGCAACCAATTAGCAATGCTTATTTCCAGACTACAGGAATACGAGACACTTTCAGTTTTTTCATTCTACACTGATATGTGTGCATGCATTCGTAGAACTTTGAGGTTCTGAGTTAAAAAAAATTTATGTATCTAGACAAGTTGTCATTGATCTGGAAAACAATAGCTATGCAAGAATTCAGAAAAGATCTCAACTGAAATAATTCCTTAAAAAATGATGCTCTGAGAAATCACCAATTGAGAACTCAAGAACAGAAACTCTTAATATCAAGAGGTTAGTGGTTGGGGCGTCTGGGTGGCTCGGTGGGTTGGGTCTCTGCCTTTGGCTCAGGTCATGATCCCAGGGTCCTGGAATTGAGCCCTGCCTCAGACTCTCTGCTCAGCGGGGAGCTTGCTTCCCCTTCTCTGCCTGCCTCTCTGCCTACCTGTGGTTTCTCTCTGTCAAATAAATAAATAAAATCTTAAAAAAAAAAAAAAGGGGGGGGGGCGCCTGGGTGGCTCAGTGGGTTAAAGCCTCTGCCTTCGGCTCAGGTCATGATCCCGGGGTCCTGGGATCGAGCCCCGCATCAGGCTCTCTGCTCAGCGGGGGGCCTGCTTCCTCCCCCTCTCTCTCTGCCTGCCTCTCTACCTACTTGTGATCTCTGTCTGTCAAATAAATAAATAAAATCTTAAAAAAAAAAAAAAAAGAAGTTAGTGGTGACCTTTGAAACCCATGAAATATATGACTGAATCCACACAGTCATTGTACAAATTGGTTACAAATGCAAAAGCCTAAATCAATTCTTCATAAAGAAGATATATAATTAAGAGATAGTTTAATAACAACATCTTAGGTTCGAATTACCAGTATATATGAACAAATAAAACATAATGGAGAAGAAGATAAGATGAGATAAAATGGTAAAGAAATAGCATGTCTTGAGAGAGTCAGTGTCAAAAAGCTCCATTTCAGTAAGGAAGTTAGTAATTCAAGAGATATAAATTAAGTAACACTGCTATTATTGCTAAAATTCAAAGATGCTAGAGTAGATAAAAATAAGATATAGTTTGTATAGTAAAATGACCATAAAGAACAAAGAAGTATTAAAGAAAAGCATAAAACAGTATGATAGAAATAAAAGAAACCTGGATAATTGCAACAACAAATACAAATGAATTAGATTTCTATATGAAATAACAAAAACTGCTAGTTTGAAAATTTTTTTTAAGATTTTATTTCTTTATTTGACAGAGAGAGATCACAAGTAAACAGAGAGGCAGGCGGGGGGCTGGGGGCGGGGAAGCAGGCTTCCCACCAAGCAGAGAGCCCGATTCAGGGCTCAATCCTAAGACCCTGAGATCATGACCTGAGCCAAAGACAGAGGCAAAGGCAGAGCCACCCAGGTGCCCCAGTTTAATTTTTTTTTTTTTAAGAGAGAGAGAGAGTGCAGGTGACAAAGTGAGAGAGAGAATCTTAAGCAGACTCCACACCCAGCACAGAACCCCATGCAGGGCTTAGTCTCATGACCCTGAGATCATGACCTGAGCCAAAATCAAGAGTCAGATGCTTAAGGGGCTCAGCCACCCAGGCTCCCTGACAAAAACTATTAGTTTGAGTTTTAAAATGCAATCACTGTGACTACTTCTAAGAGACTCAATATAAAATGACACAGAAGAAAGAAAAATTTCTAAAACAACATTAACAGTATAGAGAAGGCAATATTGTGGATGCTGGTTGATGTTCATAGCCCCTGCCAAATTTCTCACACATCCTATGTATTTTTCTTTCCCGGCACTTTTGCCTTTCTGGCTATCTGGCCTTATCTTGACTCTTGTTGTTGTTCACCACCTAATAATTGTGCAATAGAGAGATGGCTGCCTGAGTTTCTCCTTGGTTAAGATTGTTTTCCTTGAGTTGGAAGGCAAAGAGATGGGACACTACCCAAAGAAACTTCCTGCTTCATTTTAAGCTTGCTTGTTTACTTTCCCAAAGAGCAGAGCTCTAAGAGCCTTGTAGTTAGTGTGTATTTCTGCCATTCTGGCAATAGTGAGACTAGTATGCTTGGTTTGGGCTCATTTTCTAAGTTCTTCCATTCGTTTTTTTTTTTTTTTTTTTTTTTTTTTGGTCTGGGTTCCAAATTTCTTTAGTTGAAGGATGGGACAAATGAGAGAACTTAAGTAGATATTTCAGGATGGTCATTTCCTAAGTTTTAATGAGTAATGGAGCAAGGTAGTGTCAAGGATTTCTAGGGATTTTAAATCCACAGCTCTCTTCCTTTGTTTTGAAAGTCAACTGATCATCCCCTCATCTGACTTTCTTTTATCTGTCCTGTACCCCAACCCCAACCCCTACCCCCAGCAGCTTCCACGTGCATTGGCATCCATGGACCTAGCAGTCACAGACTAAATATTGGTAGTTCCAGTCTTTCTTCAGCTACCCCAATGGCACATGACACATAGAAAACTATCATTTGACTGAGGCACAAATGGGAATTGTCTGCTGCTAGGCTGGTGTGTGGGAGCACTAACACGGCTACTGAATGCACTGGGTGATTGTCCAGCGCTCCCATCCCTGTGACTTTAATGTCTGCTACTCACTAATGCACACCCAGCATTTCTGGCTGAAATGACCTTCTTAGTTGTTTTTCTTCATGGAAAAAGAAACTGCCATTAAGTGAGAGAGATAAATTTTGGTGATAATTGAAATAGCCTATGATATGAAGTGTGGGAACAGAATATATGAAGAAAAGAAACTGTATGAGAAAAAGAGGAGTTGGCATAAACTTCTTTTGTACAAGCCAAGTTAGGTATTACAGAAAATGTCAGGCCCAGCTAAACACCAAGGGCCCAGTACAGTATGTAGCATGGATCAGTTAAGTTCCTAATTAGTTATTTTGAGTGGAGGTTATGGGAGCTGTAAGCATTTTGATCCAGTTCCACAGTTGAGGAACTAAGGCTGCAAAAAATAATGTGCAAACTGAGGAGTTTTTACCACTATTCTCATAGCTACCAATTACTGAGCCCTTGCTAGGTCCATGGCATGTGTTAAACACATTCTATCACTTAATCCTCAAGATATATCCAACAGGTTTATATTAGTTTGTATTATTATCTACAGTTACACATAAAGAAACAAAGGCTCAAGCAAGTTAAGGGTCTTCCCAGGGTTGGCCAGCCTGCCCAGTGGGTGTGGAGTGGAAATTTGAGCTGTTCTAACCATGACACCTCATGGCTCCCTTCCAGGGTACTAACAAGGCTCCTTAAACTATACTCCTACTTAGTTATGGCAAAAGTTTGTAATGGGGGCTCCATTTTGTCTACAGGTCCAATAAGAGAGTGACATGTCACCCTTCCTAAGAGTAAGGTAGTTTGTCCTGTTCATACTACTTTGCAACAGACCAAGAGAAGGAACCAGGCGACAACGGCTTGGATTATACACAGAGCAAAGCCTTTTGCTCTCCCTTATCCTATTACAGAACTGCACCCATCTGTTGGCCCTCAACACAGATGCTGAGCATTATACGGCTGGGAGATCCCTGGGGTAAAACCATCTCATTTTATGGGTGAGAAAACTCAGGGACAGAAAGGCCTCAGGTCCAAGGCCACAGGATTGTTAGTGAAACAACAAGGACTAGAATTCAGGCCCCCTGGCTCTCACGGGGGCTTATCCCACGGTCCCATGTGAACAGTTGTGAAAAGTAACCCTTTGCTCTACCTTTGACATTTCCATAAAATCTGTGTGTCATGTTAACAGCTCATTGGCTCATTCTTCTTTGCATTTAGGGAAAAATGTTCTACCAGGACTACTTTCCAGTCTCAGAAGAAGTCAACGAAAGCCATATAAATTGAGTCCACTATTTAAAATGAGACATGTGCAGGAGAAAAAGAAATGTCTTATAAAACTCAGTAAAGGAACACACGCCTATAGCACACAGGGTGACTCAGAGGGTGTGGTGAGGGAGCAGAAACAGAAAACTGATAATCACCCAGCAGGCCAAACAAAGTGAACGCCATGGACTCTCTATTCTTCTTGCTCATCGACAAAGACTAATAGGCATCTGGTGCTCGGAGGCTGGTATTTCATCCCCTGCAAGGAAGAGGTCAAGGACAGAAGAGCTGAGTACATGATGCCGAATACCCACGCCCTCTGCTGCCCTCCTTTCCACCCCTTGGCCCTGCTTTGGCAGAGTCCTTTGCTCTCTTGGTTGGAAATGGCCTCCATGCCCCATCTTTGACTACAGGTAGGGATTTGTCAGATTCATGCTGATTTGTCAAGTCAAGTCAGGTGGTTACTACCTCTCTATATCTTACAGGACAAAGCCCAAGCTTTTTAGCTTAAGACCTGACATCATCCAGACCCCGGCCAGGATGACTGATCTCCATTTTCCCCACCATGAGTGCCCATCCCATTTGGCTGGTCTTTTTGGTGTGCATCAAATATGTATTATACATTCCTATCTTTACTCCCGCTACCTGAAATTCTCATTTCTTTCTCTCCCTCTTCTCCATGTTTCTCTGCCCTCTCTAAACCACCAGGATATTCATGACACATTCCTTGAGCTTCCCAGTACACCATGTTAGTGACCCTTGGGGCTGCCGCTGCTGGTGGAAACAGATAGACACACTGTGTGTCCCAATGCCAGACACTGTTCTACTAAATGATTCCCCCTGGATTATCCCATTCATCTACACAATAATGCCATGTGGTAAGCATTGATTTCTTGGTGGTGAGCAGTAGGAACTCTAACTCCAACTGGATTAACACAGGAAAAAGTTATTGTTCCACTTAAGTGAAAAGTCTAGGGACAGAGATGGCGCAAATCATGCCAGCAGGAACCAGGCTTTCTTTGTGTCTTGCCTCAACTTCTACACAGTGGCTCCTTTGTAAGGTTCTGAGAGGGGATTCAGAGCTTTAGGTTCTCATCTCTCAACACCTAGTCCCATGGAAGGCAGTAGGAATCTTTGCCATGATGTCCCACAAAGGCCCCCTACAGCCTCCATGCTATGAAGAGCTGATTTGGCCAATCATTTCGACCAGAGGAATGGGATTTGAGCCTGCCTTTGCTAAGTGTCATCACCCCCTCTAAGCACACAGGCCAAAACTGGGGAAGAAATGCTTGTGTGCAAGGAAACAGAGTCACTGGGAAGCCAAAAACCATACATGTGACATGGGAGTCCAGTGAAACATTTTAACAGTGAAAAAATTTCTGCACATTAAAAGTAAAATGGGTCCTACTTATCTAGACAACATGGGAAATATCTTTATTAGTAAGTCTGAATAACAGAAAACCATTTGGAGGTTGGCCACCAGCAAGTATTTTCTGAAAGTTATCTTTGGTTGGACCAGAAGATGAAAACCAAGAACTCACTTTCCAAGTCAATGCACAAACATAGTTTGAAAACTGCTAACATAAGACTGCATTTTATTGTTGGAACTAATGCAAAAATGGACTTAAAATTTGTTCATTTTTCTCTAAAGATTATTAGGCTGGTAATCTGAGTAAGTTTGCTGTTTGTTATCAGTTCCAACTGACTCAGATATTGTGGTAGACAAGCATATGGTGGTTGCAAAGCAGATTTACATGCCTGGGTTTTGCTGCTTACTCTTGCTATGATAGCAGCTCTTTCTTCTCTTCTTGGGTGTCCTTTAGCGTCCAACTAACTCAGCACCACAGCAATTCTTTCTTTTTTTTTTTTTTAATTTGACAGAGAGAGATCACAGGCAGAGAGGCAGGCAGGGTAGGGGGGGAAGCAGACTCCCTGCTGAGCAGAGAGCCCAATGTGGGGCTGGATCCCAGGACCCTGAGATCATGACCTGAGCCAAAGGCAGAAGCTTAACCCACTGAGCCACCCACAGCACCACAGCAATTCTTAAGCCAGTTTGTGTCTCACTATACAATTTCTTGTCTCTGCCTTGTAAATTGCCTTTCAAAACCAACAGTCATTTGACCTCTACAAGAGAGCATACAAATTAATTCACATGTTCATGGCCTTGTCTTTGTTCTCCAAGACTCCTCGTGAAATATTGCAGAAATGCAAAAGAAGTTTCCTACGTTATAATAATGTAACACTAATAGGTCTGTGTCAGACCCCGGACTGAGTCTTTTATCTCATCTACTTCTTACAGGTGCTCTGTGAGGCATGAAAATAACTTGGCTCCATCCAACAGATGGAGGAACTGAGGTTTGGCGAGAGTATCAAAATCTGTTACCCAGGCCACTGGGCTAATACTCAAACCCGGACAGTTTGCCTTCAAGCTCCTTAACAAATACTCTAGAAAATGTGTTATTGACAACTAAGCAGTCTTTCACAAAAATTAGCATGCACTAAAATAATAACATCAGGATAATGGTGAGGATAACAGGGAAGGAAAGAAGCACTTTGATTATTCATGCACTGGAACAGTGAGGCACGGTTCTCCCCAACCTCAGGAGAATAGGTACTTCATGCTCTTAGCATGAGTCAATTGCAAATATTTAGTTACATTCACATTCTCTAAGTGGCAAGTTGCCAGTTTGGCTCCCCTTTAGTTTTTCCCCCTCTGTGGACCAAGCAGTAAATGCCAAGCCCTCCTTCCCTCTCCCACTCCAACACAGAGGACATGAAATTTGCCAATGTGGACGTCAGAAGCAGGAATGTTTACATCTTGCCTTAAATGGTTGCTGCCTCCTTCCCTATGCCTTCCTGTAGCCCCAGATTCAGACAAAGTGGGTGGGATGTGGGTAAGGAAGGCTAGGCAGCTGGCCACAGCTAGTCCTGTTTTTCTTGGTTTTGAGAAACAAGGCGACATCAGAAAGGACTCTAAGGGTCATCTGGGAGACCCTCTTGCTCAGCGCAGGACACCTACTCCACCCATCCCCCCACATCTGAACAGGTCAGTATTTAATGTGTACCTGACTCCTCCCCGTGACAAACAGTTCCCTGTCTTGAAGAATTAACCGGAGCCTAAAAAGTGCTACTGTCCCATGAACAGCTTCTCCCTGAGTGTCAGAGTGGAAAACCTCAGTGATGGATACCTTCGCCCATATTCCAAACCTCTCAGTGCCCTGAGCTATGTTCCCCCTTATCCTACTTTTGCAAGTCAGGGAGAAGACACCTTTGACAGGCAGAAGGTAAATGGGTGTGGTGCCAGTCTCTGTCCAGGTTTTATGTATCTCTGGCATTCAGAAACTGGGCAGCCAGGAACATTCACCTGCTGCATGGACACAGCCCTTAAAGCTTCTTGGTTTACAGAGGAAAGGACGGATCTCTTGGCTTCAACATAAGAGACAAAAATAAAGCCCTCCCCTTTTTAATCAAATATTAACTCACTTCCCCCTTTCCTTCTCCCAGTCTCAGGTAAACATTGAGGAAATGTGACACTGGTGAATTCCCAGGGACTTTTAAGTGGTTGCTGCGGGATTCTCTAAATGAGTGCCACCTGCTGGTTTGCTGGAGTATGATCGATCTACTGCCCAAGTTTCTCCCCAGTATCAAGGGTAGAAGGGGGTCGAGAAGATTAAGATAATGCTCACTCGCTGTGCAGCCCACACCGTGCTGGGCAAGATAATGTTTGTCATTGTCTTGTTTAATCTTCACAACTTTGTGTTGGAGGTGGTATAATCTCTCTGAATGAGGCTTTAAGGGATTAAGCACCAACTGGGGCTGGGACCCTAATCTTCACCTGTCCCACACCAAAGCCAATACCCTTTCCATAACACACCCCAAGGAAACCACAAATCCACATAGATGTGGTTTACAGGATTCGGACATCAGAATTTAGTAGCAGTGACACTGACTTTATCATGATTTTGAGTGGACTTTCTAGTTTAGTTGTGGGGGGTAAGGTTGTTTTATTGGTTTTTCTTAGTTTAGAGTATAGGTTAGAGTTTTAGATTTAGTATATCTGTAGTTTGGAAGAGGAAAATTTCATAAAGTTGAACAGTAACACACATTTTAGATAGGTGGCTTTTCTGTTTCCATAGTCAAGACTGATAGAATTTATAAGATCCACTTCTGTTACTATAAAGACTATGCCTCCCCTAATTCTTCAGTTTTCAGATGGGAAGTGTGTTTACACTTCAGTTCCCACAATTGTGTTGAGTTCATTTTTTCATCAACAATAAAAAGAATGCACCACCTCCAGCATCGTGTTCTTTGAGACTACTAAGTTCCGTTAAATGTCCACATTTCCCACAAAATAACTGACGAAAATCAAATTGGGAGCTGTTTTTGATGTAATATCATTGAAGTTTATTGCATTAAAACAGCAGAATCCTCTCATGGAAATCCACAGAAACAGAACTGAAAGTAGCCTCAGAAGACCCTCCTCCGGATGTGTTGGTGGAATCCAAGGTCACAGTGGTCGTTGAACTAACCCTGACATTCACTGGTCCAGGGGACTGGCCTGAGTTGCAAAGCAACACTCTTTTGTGTCACCTTTGACACAAAGTTGAAAGATGCCATCATGGTTGCTCAAGGGCCTTCTTTATCTCAACCAGCATCACACACACCAGCCCTGCTAGGTTCTCGGTATATATTTATTACTGTCCCTTCTCCCACTTTTGGGGGGAAGACTTCTCTTGTTATCCTCAAGAGAGCAGAGCACCATGGTTTGTTTTGTTTTTTGTTTGTTGTTTGTTTGTTTGGAATGGAGATTCACTGTTGGTTGTGTGAAAAGCCCTTGTAGATGAACTTCTTTGGGGCTCCAAGTTTTCCAGGACTCCTACCCGAGTGATGAGAAGAGTCTCTGAGAGGACTTTTGGCATATAATGAAACGGAGGTTAGTGGGTCCTGTGAAATTCAGTCCTGATTTATTAATGATCCTGCAATGGCTCATTTCAGATTAATTATGATATTTGAAACAAAGCACTCCCAATTTCTCGCTAAAGTATCAGAAAGCGAGAGAGGGAATCCAAAGACAACAATCCAACCAACTCATGAAGTCTGAAAAACAGTGTTTGTGAGAATGAACAGAAAGAAAATGCCTTGCACTTCCCCTCATCCTCTAGGCAACAACCGCTACTTGTTTACGTTGAGGACACACAGAGACAGGTGCGTCTACCTGAACACCTGGTATGTCACCAGCTGGTGGGGAAGTCCTTGAGC